AGGATGGTACTTCCTCACTTATTAAATATAAGTTGAGGATTCAGTTTTCATAATAAAATAGTGTGCGAATTTCTTGTCAAAATTTTTTTTTTTAAAAAATAAATAAATAAATAAACCTCAAGTATCATGGACCATATTTGATGATGGAATTTCTTAGTGTTGCTTTGGATTCCAAATTCAAGGCTTTAGTTACAAGCAATGGAGGACCAAACAATTTCAAGAACCTGAATTATTTAGTTAGCATATCATGGGTATGCTGGTGGGAGTGTTGTTGGATTTTTCTGAATTTCAGTCTTTTACCATTGTTGAATGTTTGGTCATTAGCAACATTACATATTTTTATAGGGCCGGTTCAGGCCTATAGTCAGTCTATCAATAAATTAGCGGACCCAATTGCCCATTGTTTGTGGCTATGGTTCAATCTTAAGGAAATTATTTTGAAATTTTATTTATTTATTTATTTGGGTTTGAACATTGATTTGGACTACTTGTTTCCTCCTGTTTTAAACAAATTCATTTTTCTACAAAATACATGTTATGAAAGTAAGATTGCTGAGTATATATGAGCCAATTTGCATAAGCCCAAGTGTAATGGGTAGGAGCTTATTTATTTATCAAAAAATTTAATATACTGGGTAGTACTACATAGCCATTCATTTATACTCAATTATTCTCTTAATCGGATTCGATGTGGGACAAATCTCTTCTTGTAACATTCTCTCTCACCCGAACTCGCAACACCCTCGTTACAGTCGAGCCACCCTGCCTACCAATTAACTCACCCAGACGCTTTCTGGACCGGGTACTTGGTGTGATACCGGATCAAGGATTGGATCTGACTCTGATACCAATTGTAACGGGTGGACGCTTACTATTTACCAAAAAACTTAAATTATTGGATAGTACTGCATACGTACCCATTTATATCAAATCACTCTTCCATTTGAATTCAATATAGAACAAATCTCTCCTTATAACACTAAGTCTATATAAGCCCCATTTATAATCATCCAAACTTAAATCATACTTTTTAGAAAGTTGGTACCACATTGTAGTCCATTTACCCATTTCAAGTAAAACAGAATATATATCTTGATAATTAGAGGGTTTTTTTATTTTTTTATTTTTATTATTATTATTTTTTTTGGTGCCAAAATGTGATATTCCTCAACTGTGATTCAATATATGATGTCAAATAGTGATGTTTGTCAACAAAAATTTGTTTCATGACAAACATCTATCTGGTTCATGTTTTCTTGACCGTTGATACTTTTAGTGGACCATAAAAAGTGAAAAACATAAAATAGTAAGCATTCCACAAAAGAAAATACATTAGAATGTTTTTGGATAAACATTGAAATGACACAAACACATTGTCTCAAAGTTTACATCCCAATAACTCCACGACAAAAAAAGCACAAAACATAACTAAGTAAAAAACAATATAACCGAACATAATCAATTTCCAAAAGCGACATCAATTTCTCCAAGCGTCTCTCACGATGGGGTAAATAGATAATCAATAAATTGTGTCACTCTATCACGATAGTTATGTTTAGTCAGAAAAATGAAATACTCAACAATTGCATGATCTTCTATTCCAATTACCACCAACTCATTAAAGATGTCTCTTTCATATTTTCCCTTTTGGTACAACTAGCTTCTCCTAAAGTTCATTTCCCTTTTTAGGTGCTTCACCAACATGACTCACTCTTCAATCATATAATTATCCTAATCAAAAGTCGAAGAATTTCTTTTTCTTTTTCCTTTTGATGAAGCCGTGCTATGGAAAGGTACACTTAAAGGTGTTTCAAGAAACATCATATTCATATTTTCAAATTCATTATCCATAAAATCATAGTTATCCAAATTTACTTCATTTTGTGACACCAAGTGATAAATACCATTAATGTTTTCCATAGGATCCTAGCTCATTAGAAGTTGGCACCATCGGTTATTCCACTCCTTAGTACTTGTTGCATTAAACTCATTTGCTCTATCTTTGGCAAATAAATCCAACAACTTATCACAGTTATAAATAGGTGTAGTCCTCCATTTGTCAATTTGTGGTTTTTGCTATTGTCAAAACACAAAAAGATTTGTTAACATTATTTCAAAATGGAAAAAAACAAAAAAAAAAAACAAAATATATCTTTTTTTTTTTTATTTATTTAAAAGAGTCACTTAGAAAACAAACCCGAATTAAAGAATCCCAAACTTCATCCTCAGCGATCCACATTTTTGTTTCTTTCTTCAAGCAAACCCATTCAAACCATTCTTAAACAAATCAAAACACTCATTAAATTTACTCTTGATTGTTTTCAAGCGATTTTTTACTCTCTCTTTGTGTTTATATGCATGCCTAATATTTCATTCAATTCTTGAACCATTTCAATACAGGCTTTTGTAGTGAAAGTGTCGTCGATCCTATTCCCCTTGAGATATTAATTATATAAAACATGCACAAATATATCATACATTTGTGTTGTCCAAACTAATCTATCCCTATTGTTTCCATCACTTTGGCTTGATTTTTTATTCATTTTTGTGTCTACATATGTGTCTACATACAACTAATATAATAAAAAGAAAAGAACAAAAAGAGAGAGATTAAATAGATGAAACAAAAAAGTGTATGCATGGTAAGAGTTAATAACAAGCTTTTAAAATTCTACATCTCCAAATCAAATCAAACACTCTAATATTAAAAAAGTTAAAAGAAAAATTAAACAAAAGCAAATAAGTTTATCTCAAGCAAATAAATATATCAAATCTCACACTTGATTAGCAACATAGTCACTCTATATATGAGAAGCTATTGAATCCCTCAAGTATTCCCTAATGCATGATCCGCACATTTCTCTATTGGACCACGCTCTTTATTTAGAGTTTAATTAATTAAAAGCTCCTGACCCACTTCATTAATAAGATTTTCATCCATCCTCTTCTTTATAGTGCTCTCCTCATAACTCTCGAGTCTGGCGTCATACCCCCCCATCTAGACTTGACATGGGGTGAATTTTATGTTAAATGAATAAACAACTAACATGTTTATTGTTAGATAATTCTTCCTACCCTTATATGTTGGTGCATCTTCATTAATTAGATACTTTCAACGAATGTGTACCATCAATAGCCCCGATGCAATTCTACCTTGAAATTGAAAAAAAAAAAAAAATTAATATTGAGGAGTACAAAATTAATCATATCTACCTTGGAAAATGGATGAAAAGTATTGTTATTGAGTATTTTCGGGAACTTCCAATTCATTAGGTTGTTTGAGAAACCATCCTTCCAGCGAGATTATTGTTTTTATCACACTATATATGAAATTATATTGTTCGATTCCTCACATTGTGTGATATAATATGAAGAAACTTGGCAACTTGCTCCTCAACACTTGCACATTTTATGGGTCAAAGACCTCCATCTCTCATAAACATCTTACATAATTTTTGAAAAGCTTTTGGTCCCATATGAGTAATATTCCGACACTCATAACTTATTCTATGTTTGTTCATTAGTTTATCCCGTATTCTTTGCCTTTCAATCCTTGATTGTGTAAGAGGTTTATATACATAGTTTCTATGCTTTCGACCATAAACCAATACACCACGATACAAGTGACCATATCAGTAATTTTACATTTGTCTTTAATTCCCACATAAAATGAAATTTATTTCCTCATTCTCTTGTGTGTCCATCTAAAATTGTAAAAAATGCAAAATGATACATAGTTAAAATAAAAATATTAATACCTTAATTGCTGAATAATGATGAAAGGCGACACTTAAGAAGCTAATAAGCAAATGATTTGCTCAACAGAAACAAAATACACCACAAATGTTATCACTTGCTCCTAACCACATTCTAAAAGCTCGCAATTGTTGCCATTCATTTTCTACTAAAAAAAGGTTAATGTAATATAATTGTTACTAATTAGTATTTAAAAAAATAGTCAAGACTCAAAACTAATGCTATATAAAAGAAGTACAAACGTGAATGTATACAAAGAAAAGACTTCTGAATTCTACGACTTGAAGACATTGAATAGGAAAGGTAAAACATAAACCTAACTAACTGCTTTAAGGTGGAGGTGCGTGATAAAGGCCCAGAGCAAGGTAGGGTGCTTCGACTTCGTGTTTCCATTGATGTTACTAAACCGCTCCGGCGAGGGGTTCAGCTTGCTGATCATAATGGTCGTACTTTTTGGGCCCCAATCCGGTATGAACGCCTCCCGCTGTTTTGTTACCGGTGTGGAGTCATTGGCCATAGTTTCAGACATTGTCGCCGGGGCCAAACCGAGGTTGCTTCTACTCACACAATGGTTCATCAATATGGGCCATGGCTTCACGCTACGGCACTGATTGGCCGAATACTAAATAAACAGTCTTGAGTCTCATTTACAGGAGCCGCGTGACAAAAGATGGTTGTATACTGATGATCTCGATGATTATGAGCCAGAATCGCCGGCGTCGTCTGAGCCGTCGGCGGAGCAGTTGCCGATTCTGCCTCATGGCGTCACCGATACAACGCCGCCTAGTCAGTCCTCTGACACACGCTTTGATGGGGCTTCTGACACTGCTTTTGATGAGGCGTGTCTTGGACGTCACATTGCTCCCACCACAGAGTTGGCCCATCTGGATGAGGCGTGTCCTGAACGTCACACTGCACCTACTACAGAGTTGGCTCATGTGGATGAAGCGTGTCCTGAATGTCACAATTCTCCTGATTTAGAATTGGGCCCTGGGGTTTTGGTCCATCATCTTTTGGCCCCTCCACTTTTGGCCCACGAGAAAGATTGGGCTATGGTTGAGGGTCACTCCGACATTCTAGTCCAAGATGGTGCTGGCCCAAGTACATCAGTTGCTCATCGACAGAATCCATCCACTCCTAACGAGGCCAGTATTTTAACATTTCCAAAGGCACTTGGGGAACCCACTGTTCAGTCTATTAGAAGTCCAGCCCATTTTCGTCAGCTTCCTTTGTCGATCACTAGACTGCGGCCGAAGGCTGTGGTGGGTAAGAAGCGGCAACCTAAGGCTTCTAGGGCTGATCGACCTCAGAAGAGATTGCAACGGGACGCCTCTATGCAGTGCACCACCCGTGAGGAAGCCCGACTCTTGCCGAGCTCTCCGTTGCAAACGGAAGAACCGTTTCTTCATCCCTGTTCATCCAAACTCAAGGTGGAGGTAGCCAGCCTTAAATGGCCCCATGATGATCAATGAAGATGTTGGTATGGAACTATCAGGGGTTGGGGAATCCTCTGACGGTTCGACAATTGAAGAAGCTGATCCGGCTTCATTCCCCTTGTTTGGTGGCGCTTTTGGAAACAAAGAATGGCGAGTCTTTGCTGGAAAGGGTTCGGAAGACGGTGAATTTTCCTTTTTCTTGTTTGGTCCCGCCTCGCGGCTTAGCTAGAGGTTTATTATTATGGTGGACGGAGTCTGTGGATGTTCGGATTTGTGCCTTTCTGGATTTTCATATCTCCAGTGTCGTTAATTCCGGTTCAGGTCGATGTTGGGGTTTTTCCGTGGTCTATGCTAGCTGTCATGCTAGTGTTCGTGTTGAGCAATGGGGTTCCCTTCGTCGTTTGCTGCAGGATTGGCAGTATCCTTGGATCATGATTGGGGATTTCAATGAAATTGCTCACTCTTCTGAGAAGTTTGGTGGCCGTTCAAAGCCGGTTTAGGTTTTACAAAAATTCCGGCTGCTGATCAATGATTGTAGTCTCTTTGATTTGGGCTTTTCTAGTTTTCCGTTTACTTGGAACAATCAACGTTGCGGGGAGGCAAATATCCGCCAACGGCTTGACCGTGCCTTGGTCTCTTCTGACTGGCGTCTTTTGTTTCCTAGAGCTTCTCTTAGCCATTGCTCAGTGGCGGGCTCTGATCATGTAGCTTTGCTTCTTGATTTCCAACCTATTTTCTCCTTTAAAGCTCGTCAATTTTATTTTGATGCCCGTTGGGTTTCTCATGTGGATTGTCACGCCATTATTGAGGCTGCTTGGAAATCTCGTTTTCATGGGTCTCCGTTTATTTTGTTGGGCGGCTAGACTGAAGTTATGTAAGGAACGCTTGCAGGGTTGGGCAAAGCAATGCAATCAGAATTCTCGTCGTCAGACGCTGAAGCAAAGTTGAAGAGTTTGCAGGAAAACTTATCGCAGTATAATCATGCCCAGGTTGTTGCGGTTGAACGAACTCTTAATCAGCTTTGGCAAGATGAAGAATTGTTCTGGAAGCAGAAATCCCGTGTGAAGTGGCTTCAAAGTTCTTCCATGCCACTACACTGCAACGTCGATCTTGCAATCGGATTTCAGGGATAGAAGACTCAACTGGTCGTTGGATTGATGATGATGTGGGCTTGCAAAATATTTTTCTGTCATACTTTCAACAGCTCTACACATCTCATTCTCTTTCTTCTTCTTCTATGGAGCATTTCTTACGATATATCCCTCTCACCATCACGGCGGAGATGAATCAAAAGCTTTTGTGTCCATTAACAGAGGCAGAGGTGGAAAATGCTGTTTTTTCAATGGCGCCTTTCAAAACTCCAGGACCTGATGGTATGACCCCGTTGTTTTATCAACACTACTGGCAGTTAATTAAGGATGATATTGTTTTTGCTATCTCCAGTTTTATGTACTCGGGTTTTATGTTGTCTAGCTTTAATCATACTAATATTGTGCTTATTCCAAAAGTTAAATCTCCAACTCTAGTTTCTCAATTTCGGCCTATTTCCTTATGTAATGTGGCTTATAGAATCATTGCTAAGGTGCTTGCAAATCGCCTCAAATCTGTGCTTGATTCTTGTATTAGCTCTACTCAGAGCGCTTTTGTTTCGGGTAGGCATATAACTGATAATATTCCGGTTGCACATGAAGTTCTTCATTATCTCAAAAATAAAAGAAACGGGGACTTGTCTTTTTTGGCACTTAAATTGGATATGAGTAAAGCCTTTGATCGGGTTGAATGGCCTTTTCTTGTTGAGTTGCTTGGCCAGATGGGGTTTAATTCTCATTGGATTCGTTTGATTTATGCCTGCATCTCTACTGTTTCTTTCTCTATTGTTATTAATGGCCGGCCAGTAGGTTTTTTTAAGCCTTCTCGCGGTTTACGCCAAGGAGATCCTTTTATCTCCTTATTTATTTATTCTTTGTGCTGAGAGTTTATCACAAGCTTTTCACAGGGCTATGCTTATGAAAGTGTTGACAGGCGTTCGAATTTGTCGCCGCGCTCCATCTCTGTCTCATTTATTTTTTGCAGATGATTCTCTGATCTTTTGTCAAGCATCTTGTTCGGAGGTGAGATCAGTCAAACGCATTCTTTCAGCTTATGAGCTTGCTTCGGGACAGGTGGTGAATTTTTCCAAATCCTCTATTTTCTTCTCTAAAAATACCAGTCCCTTCAGACGGAGACGGCTTTGTTCTATCTTGGGTATTGGGGAGGAAGGTTTGAAAGCCAAATATCTGGGTATGCCGGCCATTATCGGGCGCTCCAAGTCTGATGTTTTTCATTTTGTCTCCCAGAAAGTTCAAGATCGTTTGTCAGCGTGGAAAGCGAAATATCTTTCTAAAGGCGGTAAAGAAGTGCTTATTAAGGCTGTTTTAAGTTCTTTGCCGACTTATGTTATGTCATGTTTCCGTTTACCGGCTTCCCTATGTGAGAAAATTATGCAGCTTATTCGTGCTTTTTGGTGGCGCAATAATCCTGATTCTAGATCAGTTCACTGGTCTAGCTGGGCCTCGCTCTGTTTAAGTAAAAAAAGCTGGAGGCTTGGGAATCTGAGACACGGGTGCGTTCAACTCGGCTCTGTTAGCTAAGCAAGCGTGGAATTTTCAAGTGCTTCGTCGTGGTTTGGCTTTTCGGTTGTTCAAAGCCAAATATTTCCATTCTTGTTCCTTTTTGGAAGCCGGTCTGGGGTCCAATCCATCTTGGGCGTGGAGGAGCATCTGGTCCTCCAAGCCTATTCTTAAAAAAGGGCTAAGATGGGTTGTGGGTGATGGTAAATCTCTCAGCATTTGGAATGACTTCTGGGTGCCATCCATGGAAACTTTGCCGTGCCTCAATTCTTCTATTGCTGTTCATAGAGTTGCTGACCTTGTTGACCCTATGACTCATTCGTGGCGTATCCCTCTCCTTTTCCAGCTCTTTCCTGCTGAAGTGGTCTCTGCTATTCGGCGCATTCCAATTAGTTTGCGCCGTTGTGAGGATCATCAAGTGTGGGCTTTCTCTGATCACGGAAAATTTACTGTTAAATCGGCGTATCATGTGGCTTTTTCTCTTCTTGATCATCCTATGCATCATTCCACTATTAATCCAAAGTGCTGGACATCTATCTGGAACTGTCACAGTCTTCCAAAGGTTAAGCATTTTCTTTGGCAGTGTGTTCATTGGATTCTCCCAACTCGGGCTGCTTTAAAGCTTAGGGGGTTGTCTGCTGATGATTTTTGCCTTTCTTGTGGAGAGGGACCTGAAACGGTGGAGCACTTGCTTTTGGGCTGCTCTAAGTCTCTCCTTGTTTGGAAGCTCGCTCCTCTTCGTTTTGATTTTCAGACATGGGGTGTTCGCTCCTTTGCTGAGAGGTGGCTTGATGTGTCCTCCTATGGGGTTGATGCTTGTAGTTTGGCCTCTTTTGTTGCTTGGACGATATGGAAATCTCGGAACACTTAGTTTTTCATGGTTCGATATCTGACCCTCATCAGGTTATTTCTACAGCCGTTTCAGTGTTTTGGGAGTTTCGGGACGCTGCTCAGCTTCAGTTATCGACTTTCCTCCCCGTCTCATCTCTCTAACTCTGTGGTATGGACGCCTCCGGCTCCTGGTTTCATCAAATGCAATTTGGATGCCACCTTCTTTGCCAGCACAGAATGGGCTGGAGGCGGACTTGTCTTCTGCAATCATTTGGGAGTTATCTTGCGAGTTGTTGTCCTTAAGTCTTTCTTTGCATTTTCAGCTCTCTCGGCTGAGGCTTTTGTCATGAGGGATGCTTTGCTTTGGGCTCGTCTTTTTGGTTTTCACAGTTTATGTTTGGAGAATGATTCTCTTATCTTATGTGAGGCTGTGAATGGCGTTCGCCCGTGCCCTGCATCTATCTTGCCTCTTGTTTTTGACATTCGGCATCTTTTGCATGCTCTTGATGTTGCTCGGGTTGAGCATGTTCGTCGTGCTGCAAATTCGCGGCGCATCAGATTGCTTTGCTTTCTCGCTCTCAGCCTTGCTCTAGTCAGGTGTTTTTTGGGCTGCCTTGGTAGTTGTTTTTTCTTCAGCCGCTTCCTGTTCCTCTCATAGAAGATGTGGTTCATGGGAGCTTTGTTTGTCATCAGCTTCCTGCTCCTCCTACTGATGTTTTTGATTGAGCTTTTTGGCATCAGCGTTTTGGAGCCATTGTTCCTTTCAGCATTATCACTGATTTCTGGAGATATTGTCTTCTTCGGATCTCAATGAGCTCGGAGTGGAATGGGGCGTCAATTATGAGCTTTATCATTTGTTGTAATTTGATGGGGTATGCCCCTGGTTGCTGTATTTGCTATCCTGTTTTAGCTGCTTGTTGCAATCTATGTTTGCTCATGGAAAAAAAAAAAAAAAATTTAGCTTACTCAAAAAGTTGATTCTACTACTATCATGTTTCAAAGAATTGAGGAGTGAGGACAAGCATATGCACCAGTTAAAACTGATGGGTAAGACTTCAGACTTGTCATTAGACACTCTTACGGTTTTCCAATTTGATCACAAAACCTGGTCCTCACTAGGTAAGCCCTAAATTGATCCAATAAATGAAATACATCTGATCTGTCAGATTCTTGATTTGTAATATGTCATTGTGTGCAGGGGCAGAGGGATAGGAGGCTAAGGGGGGGACCATGGAAACAAAGTGATTGGATCCGCTTAATAAATCAAATAATAGTGGAAGAAAAATAGATACAGCAATATATATGTCAATGAACTCAGCACAACACCATCATGAAATTATTTTTTCTAAAAGCAGCAAAGAATTGAAGTCCAAGTTTGGTTCTTTGAACAATTTGTTATAATTTCTTTATAAATTAAAATTACAAAAGAAACAGCATCATATTTCTTAGAAACTAAATAGAGCACTGAAATTTCCATCTAGGGTGTATACTCACTCTCCGATTAGTGAAAATTAACCAGAAAAAAAAACTCAAAAATTGATTCAAAAATAACAATTTATTACAGAATGGAAATGAAAGGTGCAGTTTATTTATATGTGTGTGCACGCGCTTCTATGTCTCTGTGTGTGTATATATATATATGAGTAGTGATATTCACACCGAATACTTGCATTGAATTGTCTAACCGAATAATTTTTAATTGACTATTTCTACCAAATATAACTAAGTGGAGGGCTCTACTTCCTTATTTGTTGCATAATTAATCAATTAAAAGAGTAGGTTTAGCAATTCAGTGTAACTATTCTGTGCAAGAATCATTTCCCTATATATATATATATATGGTAAATTGAAATGGGTATAAATTGATTCGTAGATAACTCTGACCTGATTTATGTAATGATTCTGATTTTTTTATTTTTTTATTTTTATTTTTATTTTTTTTATGGGATTTTTTGATTTTTCTAGACTATTTTAATCCTTATTCCGTTTTTACGTGTCGAACACCGTGGGGTGTGTCGGGATTGTTTGAGAGTTGTTTGGGGCATTCCCTTGAGTTGAGGATTCTTGAAAATGCATTGGTTGCCATATCGGCATTTTTCATTTTTTGGATCGAGAGGTTCTAGGTGGAACACGCTACTGGGGTTGTTGTGTACGGGGGTTGTGTTTTGGGTCCACTGCATTTCATCCATGTTTATTTAATGTATTTTATGTGGATACATATTTATTATGGAGTTGTAGTGTGATTAATATGTGTATATATATAATGTTAATGTTAATATTTGTTGTGTGGGACCCACTAAGCATTTAGTCATTACATGTGACCATAAAGTCACATGCTGACCATTTACTACTTCCATCTTCCTGCGTCATTCTTTTCTTTTCTCTGTATCTTCTTTTCTTTCTTTTCTCTTTTTTCTTTCATCACTTCAAAGCAAGATTTACATCATTCTACATAGAATTTGATCTTGCCACTGAAGGCAAAGTTGACGATCGCGTTGAGGATTTTGTATTGATCGGAGCAAAGTTCTGTTTGGCCACCATTTAGATTTCATGATTGGGCTAATTTTTGGGTTTCTCCTTTATTGAGGTAGGGGTGCTCTAATCCATGGCTTCTTTGACTTATTGTGAATTTTCCTTCTAATTTGATTCGAAGCACGTTGAATTTTAATTATTTTGCCTGTGGTTATTGTATTTGTATGTTCTCAAGATGATGAAGGTGTCCTAAGTGTTAATTAAATTCATGTACATGATTATTTTATTGTGGTGAAGAAGCATGCTTAGTATCGACATGTTGTATGTCTTGTGATTTCTAATTGCTATAAAAATTGATGTTGTAATTGTGAAAATAAATGTTTAGAACTCCCTACCACAATGTGATAATGATGCAGTTGGAATGTATGGAATTTTATTGTTGAATTGGTATTTAGAAATATAAAGCATTCATGCATTCATTAGGAAAGAAAAAAGGAAAAAGTTGTTTTAATAGCAAATGAAAATTATTTTGGAAAAAAAAAATGTTTTTTTTTAAAAAGTGATTTGCGAAAAACCTAGATGCCTAAGAGGTTCCTAGTGGTCCGCAGCGTTAATGTGATCTAGAAGGAATTAGGGAGAGACCCTAGCGTGGTTGAGCTACCTAGGCGCGAAACGACGCCATAGAGATGCCATGTGGCAGGGGATAGCTAACCAATCCTTCTCTCGTGGCACCAAAGGGGTGCTATGGATCGGGTTGTATTAACGGTTTGGAACGGTAAAACGAAAATGTTTCAGAATTGGGGAGCATCATTGGCATGTCATTGCATTACATTGGCATGTGTTGTATACATATGGTTGGATGATCTGTATTGTTGTATTCTTATTGTTGTTGCTATGTTTTCCCTTATAGCACAATCTCGTTTACTTTAACTCTATGCTTTGTGTGGATTTACGTGGTTATTAAGTGGTGTGTCTTAGACACCTCCTACTGAGCGGCTAGCTCACCCCATCATATTATTACATTTTTCAAGTCACGAGAAGGAAGTGGCGAACGACGCTTTTCCACAGATTTTGATGGGTTAGTGGACTGTTTTGACATATTTTGTAACTATGATCTCATTTTTTTTATTATTATTATTAATTTTTTTTTATAAACCTTGGGATGACTCGTATATTATGTATTGACATAGGAAGGGATGGTAGTGTTCTTAGTTGATCTCGGGTTCGGGTCGTTACAAATTTGGTATCAGAGCAATGGTTCGAAAACCAGTAGGACGACGGGTAGAGGCCTACCTAGGATTGTGTAGAAGGTGGATTGCATTATTTATGTGCTTATGTGTTAAAGTGTTTGTTATCTGAGAAGCATACTTATTTGCTTAATTGCTTATGTGTTTAAGGTTTTAAAAGGCATGTTTATTTGCTAAGTGTTCACATGCTTATGTATTTAATTGCTAAGATGTGTGTTATATGGCCATGATGATGAAATGTATAAGTAATTGAAAACATGTTAATTGTGATAAGATGACAATTATGAGTTACGGTTATTATATATATGTGTATGCGTGTATAGGAGTATACGGTTGGGTATGGGATGGTTACTAGTACATATTGCGGCATTGATGGTTGTGTGGGTTTTAAATTGAGTAGGTGTGCAGCTCGGTTATTCTAGGGTTCTTATCGAACGAATGGCGTGGACTTCTAGCTCGTGGATTGAGCTATTTGGTGTGTAATTATTTTGATCTTCTTGTTGCATTTTGTGCGGTGTTTAGAGTACGACTTTAGAACAGGTTTGTATTGCATGGCACGGTGTCTATGTTGTATGTGAGTTTCATGCATCAGTGTATGGGTTCTTGTGACTAGAAGGGTCAGGTGTGCGATGTGAGGTTTTTGTGAGGTACGTATGACTTTAGGAGGTTAGTGGTTGTGACTTAGGTCACAGTTTGGTGCAGAGGTTCTTTTTCGAACCGATTGTAGTAGATGTGACAAAGGTTGCTCGAGTCACGAGTGTAGTCTATCGGTTGTAGACATATATTTCGGGTATTCTGGTATGGTCCGAGGAAGCGTGTTGATTACGACTGTTAAGGGGACTTGTTGGGCTCTGTGAGTCTATGGTGGCGTAGGCGTTGACTGGAGTCATGCCAGTGTCAAGTGATCGATTGTTAGATGTTAATCATTTTGTAGTCTTGTAAGAGTTTGTTTTAGAGACTGGTTTGTTGAGAAGTGATTCCCATTTCGGAGAGCTATAGAAGTGTGTTACGGCTAATTGACTCTCGATGAGTCGATTGTATGGTTCAGTGGATGAGCGGAGTCGTAGGTTGTCACGGTTGCCGTGGGAGTCTTGAGGTGGTGTATTGTGGTCAGTTTTAGCTGTGTGGTGCAGGGTTGTGCGATAAGGGAGGTAGTATGGGGTCATTGAGGTGTTGGTCGATTGTGGATGAAGTGATATATGATAGGTGCTACATTACCAAATGGACTGTGTTTTAGAATTCGGAAGCTGTGGATTAGGGTTGTATTTCAATTGCGTTTGGGGTATCAGGAGATAATGCTGGTTGTCTGAGATTCGAAGAGATAGACTGATGATTAGAATGATTAGGACGAGGGTGATCCTTTAGGTTTAACTTGTAGCCCCATTTGACTTTTGTCGGGGCCAAGGGTGTTATGAGGAATGGTGAAGAGGAAAGGTAATGATGTTGACGCTAAGGTGTAAGGTTTTTTTGGCTGAGTATGTAGGTTGTCTTGGGAAGAATGGTCGGAGTAATCGATTAACTGTTAGTGACTGATTATGTTGTAGATGGTTTTGAGGAGACGAATGGGTATTGAGCATTCTGGTCTTTGTGCCTATTTTTCCTTTTGGGATTTGTCGGCATGGTATTGTCATATAGAGGTTCTTTTCTAGTGGTAAGTAGTGGTCGTTGTGGGGAGTATAAAGAGTCATGCTTATTCTTTGGTTATGATGGTGTTATCTTAAGGATATTTGAGGAAGAATCGCTTGGTAGTAGCTTGATGATCCGGTGAGATGAGAGGTTCGAGTTGTCATTCGAGGATGATAGTAGTTGAGGTGTTATGGCGTGATGTTTAGTGTTAATGAGGAGACTGGTTTAAGGTATGATCCGAGGATGGTTTAGAGATTGTGAGTTATTTGTTGTATGTTGTCAGGTAGGTGATAGGATTGTGCGTCAGTTGAGGCAATTGCGGACAGTTTAGTCATTAGAGCCAATGAGGACGATGTTACCAGGTAGGCACCTTTTTCTTTTAACGAGTAGTGGGTTACCGTGACTGAAGTCACGAGTCTTGTGTGCACGGTATTCGAGGGAGTGTAGCCTAAAAAGTTAGAGATGGAATGGGTGATCTAATGTCATCGTATGGCATAGAGGTTGTCATTTGGGAGTGACTGATTTTAGGTAGAATAAGACGTGGTGTCTAACGTACTGTGATCATTCCTAGTGTTAGTACGTTGTAAGCAATTGGTGCTCTTATCTGATTAGTTTTGGTTAGCATGGG